GTATGGGAGAAATAATCAAACATTTACAAATTCAGGAATTTTGTTTGCAGCGATCGCAGAACTGTATAAGGCATTGAAGTGGCCTACTGGTTCTTCCAGCGTAGTTCACTTTGTAGTCCGCGCACCAGATACATCAGCCCGAGTTCAACGTTTAACCTCGTGACAAGAGAGTCAGACGTTCGTCACCTTGTATCTGTGGCTGGTGCCGATTTCCGGTGATTGCAGGAGACGAGCAACTGTTTTGGATACGTTCGAAATGCATGCTGGCATCTACCAGACTTTAAGTTACTTCATTTTTGGCTTTGCAGTCGGGTTGCGATATCTTCCACATACTGTAAAGCTGCCGGCATATGCCTTGAGAAATAGCATAAGCTGGAGGTAATACAGTGTTGCTGTTTTGTCGCCCATGCTGTTACAATGAGTGTCTGCTCTCTTGTCGAGACCTCGCACCCGTTGCGATTGTTAGAGTCATTTTAACGTGGTTCGGAAGAGTGACTGATAGGTAGTGAGAATCAGGCTACAAAGCCCTCCCCCCCCCTCGTTAACATGGTCTCTATAGAAATTTCAGGCATGTGAGCTCCGAGACAACCTCCGCTTTCTGTAAGAAAACCTGTGGGAAGTGCACGTCGTGCGTGGTACGTGCAGAGGACCTTTGTAGCTCTGTTAGCTACTGTGTCCAATTTTGTAATCAGTTGACGGACCGGTAGTGAGGAAAGTACGCTGAGCGCCCTCGAATTCGTTTACTTTTCCTTCTCCTAGGAACATTTATTTAGGCTCCTATGAGCATATGTAGCAGTGCTAGGAAGAGAGCTAATGTCATTTTCGGAGGATACCGACAGCAGAACTCTATCCCGAAAATAAACTGCTTCTGTGATGAAGTCTTATTTTTAATTAAGTTCGCAAAGTCGCCTAGATGGTCCATAGGTGAAAGGAACGTCCCACGAGGACATACTGTACGAAGACATGGTGCCTTGGATGACCATCAGATTTGCTGAGGAGCCAATCAGAAGGATGGAATCAAAGTCAGGGTGTTAAACATCATCGAGAAGGATCCGTAAAGGTATAACAGTATTTATTGAGATCAAATGCAGACTACTGCTCATGTTCGTCGGTCAAATTAGGTAAGACACTAATGAAGCTTATGGCCATAAACTAATATGTTAGAGCTCAGCCAACCTTTCCGGCGATGTTGTTTAATTCCTGGCAGCGGTTCAGACCACAATTCTATTGAAAAGCTCTTTGTGCCAATCAAAAGACAAAAAAATTTTAAAGGCCGAATAAGTTGAAATTTGTGCTTAATAATTGCACAAACCAGTTAACCGCAGTCAATTTGGCAATTGCTATGCCTGTCAAAAGAACTGTCAGTTACGTGCTGACCATTTATACCTGTTTTTATCTTTTATTTATTTCTGCGCGTAATGCATTCTCCTTTTTATCTTCCATTGTATTTTGCCTTCAATAAGTTACCTACAATTCTAGCCTTTTTGAAAGCGTATGCTTTGTAAAAAGAATTTGTCAACCAAACTGTGCCTTCTTTCGAAGCAAGATCGTTGGTTAACGTAAAATAACTTTTGAGAATGTGAGAGTGGGAGTCCGCTTGATTTTTATGACATTTTATGATTTACCCCATTCACTGTATGTAGCAGCTCTGTCCGAAGATATTCCACCTTCTTTCCGGTCACGTCTTAAAAACACCATTCACGATTATCCAGACTATTCATTAGAGGGTTCATAATAAGAAGCTGGGCCTTTCATTTATTAAAATTCTGAACTTCGTTGAAAAAGAAATAGCTAAAAACTTACTTCAAGGCTAAAGCGCATTTGCCAAACTGACGACTGTTCAAAGGTAAAAATGACGTTGATAATATACTATACACCCATAAACTGACTACTAGCAAAATGCGGTAGTATTTAGTTTTACCTGAAAGATGTACGTTCTATCGACCTTGAACGTCGACGAATTTCGACCAGAGTGGACATCGTTCGCTCGAGGACGGGACTGGGAGTTTTGAGACTCATACTGCGCCGATTGCGAAATCGGTGAAATAAGCTGCTGAACCCACTGGTTGCCTGCGAGCTTGCGTAGCCAGCGGTCGCAGAGATTGCGTTCAGACGGTGTAATGCTCCGCGACCATTGGCTACGGATCCGGAACCGCCGGAGTTGGGTTCTTTGACACGGAAGAAGGTGTGACAGGTCACCGCAAATTGCCAAAATACTTTTGCCCGTTTACCAGAATCAAAGTAGAAGGTGGGTGTCCTGTTAAACGTTCCTATTCCAGCCGTGTCAAAAGACGCAGCCTCGGTACTGCTTTCCGCCTTGTGGAATCCAGAGACAGTCTGGAAGAGAAGTAACATCAGGCATATACAGCGATAAGTAAATTTTTAAAGAGCACTCTTTGGTTCGGCGCCTTCTAAATTGTCATAGCTTGTAACCTAAGAGCAACGGAAAGTTGTGCTTTACCGCGCGTGTTACCTATAAAGTGGAATGGATCCCACCTAACGCAGCACTTGATTATTTGCGTCAACCGTTTGTTCAGAAGAAAATGCTTAAGCCTAGAAATAAATTCCATATATTCTTATAATTACAAGTATTTAACCAAGACAGCATTGCGAAGTTATTAAGTTTTTGGAGATAAAGGCAAAAAAAGCATTCCGGACAAAAACAAGGGAGACTGGAATGGCCATTTCCGGCGTATTAGCCGGTATCGGCCAGCCAAACCTGACCCCAAGTGTTTCGACTCTCGAGTTGCCAAAAATCGATAGGTGAGCGTTTATTTACTTTTATGTA